GGAAGGATTCCTGCAGCAGATAGGGGGGATGAGGGTGAAGATTTTCTGTATCACTTCGTATCACGCCTGTGTTGTCCCAGAGCCACGTTTCCCCCTTTTGGGGTGGTGGGTTAATATCACTTAATGGCATTTCTGTGCCACTGTTAGCAGGGATGGAGATGTTTCTGCTTTGGGGTGGCACTTGCTGAGAGCAGCACAACCTGGGGGTGCCTGGCAGCAAGGTGTGGGGTGCTTGGCTTTGTCCCCTGATGGCCCCAAGCTCTGTCTGCAGGTATCCCACCATGTCCACGCACACCACCGCCTCACAACCCAAGGATCAGCAATTCCCAGGGAACTGCACTCTGGAAAATGCCCTGGAAGCCATCGTGAACATCTTCCACCAGTACAGCATCCGCGAGGGTCAGCTGGACCTCCTCAACTTCAGTGACTTCCAGACGCTGCTGACTGAGCAGGCACCCAACTTCCTGAATGTCTGCGTGAGTGTCCTGGGGAGGGGGGCAAAGCTGAGCTGGTCCTGGGGGTGCATCGGTGGGAATGGGGTGAAAACATCCCTGAAGGGCTGTGGTCCATCAGACCCAGGCACTGTGGGACCACCCATGCTCATAGAATGGCTTAGGTTGGATCCACTGTAGAATGCCTTGGGTTGGAAGGGTCCTGAAAGGTCCTAGGACCATAGAATGCCTTGGGTTGGAAGGGTCCTGAAAGATCCTAGGACCGTAGAATGCCTTGAGTTGGAAGGGTTCTGAAAGGTCCTAGGACCATAGAATGCCTTGGGTTGGAAGGGTCCTGAAAGGTCCTAGGACCATGGAATGCCTTGGGTTGGAAGGGTCCTGAAAGGTCCTAGAACAATGGAATGCCTTGGGTTGGAAGGGTCCTGAAAGGTCCTAGGACCATAGAATGCCTTGTGTTGGAAGGGTCCTGAAAGATCCTAGGACCATAGAATGCCTTGGGTTGGAAGGGTCCTGAAAGGTCCTAGGACCGTAGAATGCCTTGTGTTGGAAGGGTCCTGAAAGGTCCTAGGACCATGGAATGCCTTGGGTTGGAAGGGTCCTGAAAGGTCCTAGAACAATGGAATGCCTTGTGTTGGAAGGGTCCTGAAAGGTCCTAGAACAATGGAATGCCTTGGGTTGGAAGGGTCCTGAAAGGTCCTAGGACCATAGAATGCCTTGGGTTGGAAGGGTCCTGAAAGATCCTAGGACCATAGAATGCCTTGGGTTGGAAGGGTCCTGAAAGGTCCTAGGACCGTAGAATGCCTTGTGTTGGAAGGGTCCTGAAAGATCCTAGAACAATGGAACTGCTGGGTTGGAAGGGACCTCACAGCCTCCCCAAGCCCACCCTTGTTACAAGCTGAGTGCCCCCCCCAGGGTCCCATCCATGACTTTGGGCACCTCCAGGGATGGGACACCCACAGTCCCACATAAGGCAAGACCCATCCTCCTTGGAAATAGAAGATCCCAATGATCCCCCATCCTCCAAACGCTTCTCAGCAATGAAAGGAACAGGTTGGAGGCGGTGCCCACCAGTGGGCCCACAGCCTGGGGAGGGGCACTGACCCACACCCTGTCCCCCCTGCAGGGCAGGAACCATCCTGGGTACCTGCAGAAGCTCTTTGAGGAGACGGATCTGAATAAGGACAAGGAGCTGACGTTTGAGGAGTTCACCATCGTCCTGGCCAAGGTGACCGACGATGCGCACCGCATCATCCATAAGGATGACAGATGTAAGCCAGACAGCAACTGAGCCACCCCACACCATGGAGCTGGGCCCCGAGGAACGACCCGGAGGGGTTTGCATGTAGGAATGGGGCTCTGGCTGAATCTTGCCCACTTGGGTCACCCATAAGATAATAAAGCATCGCCTGAACCTCCCTGAGTCCTTCCTATCTATGCGCTCCCTTCTCAGGGTTGGGGGAGTGGGGATCATTTGTGGGAGAAGTGTTTGCCCGAGTGAAAGACCCCAAAAACCCATGAAGGAAGGGGCTTGTGACGGCTGTGGTGGGTGGGCACCAGCTGGGTCACTCACTGTCTGCCCAAGGAAAAGCCAGTGTGAATCCAGGGGAGAAGAAACAACACACACAGAATGCATAGGAGCACATTCTGTACACACAGCTTCCACTCCACGGGAAAGTCAGAGATCTTAGATTTTCTCTCTGCTGGACACAGGGCACAGCACTGGGGGCATCTCTGGTCCATCCCCCTGCCCACCAGTGACCCCCAGGGAGGTTCGCCACCCCCAGAAGCATCTGGAGATCACTGAGGAGGAGAATCCACCACCTCCATGGGCAGCCCATCCCAGTGCTCTGTCACCATGGGATGAAGGAGCGCTTCTCACCGCTCACACCAACCCTGTGTCTCAATTTGCCTCCTGTCCTGGCTCTGGGTGCTGCTGGGAAGTTGCTGGCGATGCTTGGGGTTAAGGTTAAGGTTAAGATTAGAGCCAGGGGGTTCAGGGTTAGGGTTAATGTTAGGGTTAGGATTTAGGTTGGGGGGTTCAGGGCAGCAGCTGGATGCTCATTTGTGCCCCCCAGGCAGCAGCAATGAGCAGCATCAGAGCAGCTGCAGCTGTGGGCATCTCAGGCAGACCCAGCCCCCACCACAGACCCCTTCCTGCTCAGGGTCTCTAGAACGTCTTGACTTGGAGGGGTTCTTAAAGACCTGCCTTGCCTCAGTGCATCCCCCTGATTTCACCACCCTAAAACCACATCTAGCAACCAGAACTTCCTTCCCAATCTCATGCTAAACCTTCCAAGAAATGCAGCAGCACCTACCCCGCCTTGCAAGCCTTTCCCTTCTGCCCATAAATGTATTTGGAAAGCTCTTCAGCAAACACTGCCAAGCACGGGGTGCCCAGTCAGGGCTCGGTTCCTGCAGGCACTGCTGGTCCTGCTCACCCTGAACCAGCTCCTCTGTGCTGTGCACAGCCTGCAACCACTCCCTGCCCTGCAGCAATGCTTGCCCAACGCTGCAGCCTCAGGGTTGGGATTGCAGCTCACCATGGCACAGTGCATGGGTGCGACCGGGCTGGGAGGCTCTGCTGCAGACAGAGACCTGTTGAGCCCAGTGGGATGATGTGCACCACTTACCCGGGACACCAAAATGGTACCTGGGTTCATGCAAAGTGCTGCACTGAGTGACTGAATGACAGAAGATGCTCAGGGTTACCATCGCTGCTGCCTGGTGGGCACAACTGAGCAACCAGCTGCTGCCCTGAGCCCCTCGGCCCAAACCATAACCCTAACCCTAAACCTAACCCTCTCCATAACCCTAACTAACCCTAATCCTAACCCTAACACTGACCCAAACCCTAACCCTAACCCTACCCTAACCCTAACCCTAACCCTAACCCTAACCCCTAACCCTAACCTCAAGCCTAACCCTAATCCTAACCTTAACCCTAACCCTAACCCTCACCCTAACCCTGACCTGAAAACAAACCCTAACCCTAACCTTAACCCTAACCCTAACCATAACCCTGACCCTAACCCTAACCTTAACCCTAACTAAAACTGACCCTAACCCTAACACAAACCCTAATCCAGATCTGAAACCTAACCCTAACCCTAACCATAACCCCTAACCCTAACTAAACCTAAGCCTAACCCTAACCCTAACACTGACCCTAACCCTCAACCTAACCCTAACCCTAACTCTAACCCCAACCCTAACCCTAATGCTAACCCTTACCCTAACCCTAACCCTAACCCTAACCCTAA